CATCCAGTGTCGATAGCGCGTGATATACTCTTCTGATGGCGGTGTTATTCGGTTTCGAATCGATGTACATGCGTAGATCGCTGGACGTCTAAGCGGTTAAAAGAACTTGGCTAACGCCGTTTTTCGCGTCAACTCTGACAATAACATCGAAGTGGATCTGGCGCTGTAATTCATCTGTAAACTTTTCGTACAAAATGATAGGCGATTTTCTGGCTGGTAGACAGGTGAGCATATCATTCCAACTTTTCCACACCACCGTCAAACGCATCAACATAAATATCGACAGCATTAGGAGGAAAACGGCTATGGTAAGTAAAGGCAAAACCGTAACACTGAATGGAGTCGATGCCCAAAAATGGCATAAAATTTGCTGATATTACGAGAAACTCGAGCAAGTGTTCTGGCCTATTCGTGGGGTTTATCCTCTTCACTAAGACACAACCCTACAGTTGTAACTTCGAGCCGGCCTGTGTCCGGAAATGCAAGGCGTATACCTTGGAACCCGGAGGTCGCGGATCCGAGTCTGCGTAGGGGACCGGGCGACCCTCGCAGTATTCTCAGCTCAAATGCGACTGGTGCTGATTGCATAGCAGCAAAGCGTCGGTATGGCGTACTGCTGATGACTTTGTAACCTTGAGCCATTCCATCTTTAGGACAAGTCTGTGTTTTATGGTATTCTATTCTCTCAGTGTTTTCAGGCAGTATGTTGATACTGGTTACCGAATTCAGTTAGAAACGCACCGATTGTTCTTAAAGGAACAGTATCGTAAAGAAACAAAAGTCAACACCGGTCATGCACCACCAACCTACTGATTGCACGAGGTAGTTGGACGGAAGTGGCTGATAATGGGGTCGGAGTTGACGTCATCTATCTGGACTTCTCCAAAGCTTTCGACCGCCTTGATCACCGCATCCTACTTCAACGGCTACAGAGTTAAGGAATCGGAGATCCTGGTTGTCGGCCGGTGGCCGAGTGGTCTGCACAATTGCTTTGCAACCATAAGGTCACCAGTTCGAATCCGCGTAGGGGTGGGCGTCCTCGCGGTATACTCAGCCTGTGCGCGACTGGTGGTGGTTGCGCGGCAGCGAAGCACCGTTACGGCGTACAGCCGAAACATTATTCATTATTATTACTTGGTTGGATTGACAGCTTCCTTCACCAACGGAAGCTTAACACTAGAAAGACCGCTCCGCCGTTATACCTAGAACGCCCGGGACCGGTCAAAATGACCGCACTGCTATATTTTTTTTATCCCAACTTTCAGTTAAGAATTTTTTCACGGCATTTATTAAAAACTAATGTATAGAACATACCTGTAACAGAAAAATGATTGTATTAAGGTTTAGTTTTTTTCAAAAATTGTAAACAATTCCGTATACCTACTCCAATTTGCACTTGAAGCAAGTGATAACTCGCTCAATCTGTCCACATGAGCCGCAAACTACTTTTTCACAAACAGAGCACTTGTTTTGTGATTTGTTACCTTTACAGTAACCCATCTGACACTGCCGACGTTTAATGTTCACACGACTTCCCGACTCCGCTGAGTTGTTTGTCGCAATTCCCGTTGTCACGTACCTTGTGTGATGTATACATGTAAGCAGTTCTTCCGAAAGACCCACCAGATACGACCGGCGAGATATTTTAGTTCCGCAAACACTGTCATAAATTATCCAGGAATTTATGCCAGCCAAATCCAGTACGCTGAAAAAGACTTGGACTGGCCATCGTCGAGATGATGACTTCACAGTGAGTGCTCTTGTCATTTGGTCGAGTACATCCACACCATACTTTGTGGAGTTGTAAAACAACACAACCTCGGGTTTCTTCTTTCCAGAGTCTTGAACGGAAGTTACTATGCAGGGAACTGAAAACCAAAACACTCTTATTCCTTCTACATTGGTAGGATGTTAATGTGTGCTTATTTTCATTCCTCATCATAAGTGAACTGAACAGCTCTCTATTTCTTTGCTTCAAAATCGATGGTACTTCCTTTCTATTAGCTCGAAGTGTTCCCACCATACTTGTGTTTTTCTTGGCCAGCGTTTCTCCTAATGCTGCCGATATAAAGAAGTTGTCACATGTGACATTGTACCCCTTTCCAAATAATGGTGACACCAAGCGCAATACCACGCTCTCTGCAAGACTTTCTCCTCTTGACCGAGTTTCGTCCTTCCCGAGATATGGAAATCCACTAACGAGATACTTGCTGTCTACTTCTGCCAGCATCCAAAACTTGATACCGAACTTATCTGGTTTGTTGGGCATGTACTGGAGAAAACGACGACGGGTTATGGAGGGAAACAATTGCTCATCAACTGTGAGATTCTGCGCAGGCACATAGCATTGTTAAGAGTTGCGAATGAATGCATTCCACAATTCAGATACCAAAGCAAACTTATCAGTTAGCAGTCTTTCACATCGGGTAGTTCGCATGTCAAAACGGAGGAACCTCATTATTTCTTTGAAGCTGTTCTTGCCAGTTGTCTCCCTGAAAATAGGCAGTCCATATCTATCGCACCACATCATATTCAACGGCATGTTCTTCAGACCCATGAAGCCTCTGATGTAAAGTAGACCAATAAAGGCACGCAGCTCTGGAAGACTTACACTCCATTGACAATTGACACCTAAAACTCTCTTGGTCTCAGCTTCAGTACATACTTAAATATGTTTCAGCATCTGGGGCGTGATTATGATGTCAAAAGTGCTCGACAGCTCACCATATTTCATACATTTCTTAGCACAGGGAGTTGGTCCTGGTCTAGCCTTAAACACATTCTGTGATGGAATCCTACCAACAGTGGATGTTTCGAACTCCACTGCGATCCATGTGCTACCATCTTTCGATACGTGAAGCTCACCGGGAGATACCGAATCGGTTGATACACTCTCTCTAGGGTCCTCATATGGAGTGTAATCATCAGACGTTTGACTATCAGACATGCTGTGATCTTCTGCTGACTCATGGAAGATGGAGTCCTCATCAACATCATAATCGTTCTCGTCTCCAGACTCGTTGTCATCGATGGCTGTAAGTTCTCGTAAAACCTCAAAGGCTGTTTTCCTCAGAAGTGACATTGTGTACAAAAATGTCACTGGAATTTATCTGACTGAACGCACAATATCACAGTAAAATCGTGATTCGGCTAGGTTTCACTCCCGTTTTGACTGCTATAGTATATAACTGTCAGAAATGATAGTGGTGGCTAAAAATAAAATGAGGAACCGGATTAGAGAGAAGCGATCATTTTGACCGCTAACGGGCTTTCTAGGTAGTATGAACACAGCTATCTCTTTTCTCGAAAACTATAACAGATATGAAAACGAAAATTCACAGTAACGAAGAACATCCAAAAATATTAAAAATCACGAAATCTCTTTGAAAAATGTTCATAAATATAGAAAATATGCACATTTAAAAACGCTGAGCGGTCAAAATGACCGCTCCGAACGTTCTAGTGTTAAAGTACGTGTTAGGGGATCACTCTCTAACCCAATTGAGGTGGAATGTGGTGTCCCACAAGGCTCAGTGCTGGGACCGCGCTTATTCCTGATGTTTATCAACGACCTGGCATCAGTTATCTCCTCAAATTTCCTGCTTTTCGCCGATGACGTCAAGATATGGCAGGCGATTAGTACCAAGCCAGATCAGGACCTGCTCCAGCATGACCTAGATTGCATTTACGAATGGTCAGAGGAATATGCTTCAATTGAACATGGCCAAGTATAAAGTGAGACATCTGCGTCACCAGCCGGTGAGCGCTTACAAGCTTGAGACCACAGCTTGGAGGTCTCTCAGGAGCGTGACCTGGATGTATTGGTACAGGAAGAGCTCGAGTGTTCAAAACAAGCAGATAAGACGACGATAACCAGCAATCAACACTTCGGCCTTCTTCGCAGAGCCTTCGGTCGGTTTGAACCATCAATATTTCCCCAAATGCTTAACGCCTACGTGCGACCTCACGTGGAATATGCTATTCAGGCGTGGCAACCGTGGCAGAAACAGGATTTCGTTGACCTCGAGACGTCTCAACGCACGGCAACCAAGAATGTCAGGGGCTTCTTTCACCTGCCCTATCAGCTTAGACTGAAATCTCTAAGAATCTACAGCAGTCGATATCGGCTTTTGCGGGGGGATCTCATAATCGTTTACCAAATTCTGAAGAATCCAAACCACATCTGCTGTCCGTTTCTGGAATTGAACCACCACACTAAACTAAGAGGTCACCCTCTGAAACTGGCAATTCAGTATAGCCGGCTCGAATGCCGTAGAAATTTCTTTTCCCTCCGCCTGTGCCAGCCTTGGAACACCCTCCCTAATTATGTCCTCTCTGCCCACAATTTGGCGATATTTAAAAAACGTGTTGACAACGCATTGTCTCACCTACATTTCATTTTATGACTTGTTAGCCAGGGCTACAAAACGCAATCAAACGGTGTCTTGCCAAACGCCTAAGCAATGGATTTATGGATTTATACGTTTAATACGCGAACATCTCTGTTATACCACATAAATCTATGGTGAGTCCACCACAACGCTTTTCACTTAATCATGCAATTGATTTTCGCAATAATTTCCATCCCACAGGACTTGTTTAGCAATGCTTTTTTACTCTTAATAAACCGTTGTTTCATATACCGTAGCTGGTGGGGGAATAGAGAGGACAAATACGTCATGCGCATAGTTATGCGTGAAGGTGTTACTACTACTGCGGCTACATTCAGCACGGAAGCTGGGTATTTGCAGCGTAATGGTTCATCTTGGAGTAGGGGCCCTGCTCCAGCCCGGATTTGACCGTCCTGCTGGTATCCTAACACGATTGTAGGACAAAGAAATTATCAGTATGAAGTGCTAGCACTAAAATTCTTAATTTTTGGCAGAAATTTCGCTGTTCTCTTTCAGAATGTTATCACGTTCACTGATGGCGGCTGACATGAATTGAATGGTATCATTACCCACCAGCTGCTTGTACGAGCAATAAAGGTTGATACTCATAAGTGCTGAACTACTGATTTATGCATAATAAATAAAGGTAAGTAAAAAAGGTCAAAATAGGGTCACATTACAGGTGTTTGAAAAAAGAAAGTAGACAACAAATGGACGAAGATAATGGTGCAAACCAGTTGAGGAAAACGGACCGCAGGGGTGTTACAAAACAGCCATTGATCTATCACAAGCACAATGATTGAGGTATGGCTAAGTGAGAGTAACTTGTCGCCGCTGTACAATGAAATCAAAACATAACGCGTCAAGTGAAGAGAGAAGTAACCGGAAAGGGATAAAAACACGGGATTAGCAATAAAAGGTCTCAAACACAATGGGTTCACACAACGGAATCACAAAGTAACGTTAACTCGACTAATTAGGAAATTAGTAAAACGAATAGATGGCGAGGAGGAGAGTGAAGCAAACAGGTAGTTTGAGTCCGTTGTCTGTTGTGAAATGTGATTCACGTTAAAAAGCACTGAAAATTGTTGGTTTTCACGGATTAAGAGAAAACCTCTTTACACAAACGAACTCCAGATAAACTTTACAGCGCTCAATGAGATGTAGAAAGACGACTAGCAGAGTGAAGCAATCAAAAATCGCGACTGCGCTGAGACACAATACACAGACTAAAGGCAAGCAGAGGTACTAAAACCAAACTGGCATAAGAGAGAAAGGCTGCCCCGGAAGTGAAGAAGGATAGGGGGACACTTGATTCATGCATAATAAAAGCACTTCCAAACTGACTACTAAACCGGTCCACAAGATGTCACCAAGTTTTCTTGAGGTACCCAAGGAATGGAGAAACTCCTATAGGATCAAGAAATTATCAGGCACTACCGTTGGTACAAAGGATGCTGTGGTGTTGAATGAAAACCGGAGATCGATGAGGTGCCGGAAGCCGCCTGAGTTGCTGCTACTGTGCGCCACTCACCACCACCATGCAGCATTCCGTTGTTCGGTGGATGTTGCAAATTTGCATGAACGTTACTATTGGTGGCAGGACCAGTGGAAGGCAAACCGTATCCACAGGAGGGTTGAAAGACCGTCCCATCCAACTTCAAGCCAGCTAAAAGGGAGCATAAAGCACTTTAGTAAACAACAAATATCGACGTAGGCCCTGGCGAATTGACCACTCTGGTTATATCCAGAGAAGTAAAGTTATTGTCATGCGCATAATATCGTACCGAATAAGATATAGGAACTTGCAGGGGTTGGATACACCAACGATCGCTGCATTACATGAATGACATCAAGGTATGTAAGAGATTACGGCGAGAAGACACAGTCGTAGATATCACGATCCGGCGCGAACAGGTAGAATATAAGTGTTTTGTCACATGTATGCCTAAGTATGTATGTCTTGGCATTCAATAGTCAGTATGTAAGGTTAACAGACCAATTCGAGAGCTTTAGCACTTGTGTATGAATGATTTGATTGTCGACCCGCCTGGAGTGACCAGGTTATGGTGAAGTGCAACCTAGCGCTATGTGTGTAGTGTCGTTTGATCCAGTAATTGCACCTGCAGCAGATGGGCAATGGCTCATCCCGTCTCCAGGGGTAAACTTTGAATGTTTAAATCATTTTTGCTTTTTCGACTAAAGCGGGAACAATGCGTAGGAACAAACGCTAGAGAGGAAGGTAACAAAAATCATTGAGAAAAACAGAATCTCAAAGTGAAAGTATGTTCAACGGTGACTGAAATGAGGTGGTCACGAAGCTGTGTTGACCGGCCACCTTGTCAAACACTACCTCTTCAGACGTGTGGTTGGTGGTCATTTTCGATTTCAAAAGGGGTTATCAGAAAGCAGCGGCTTAATTACCATTCGTTAGAAGTAATCAGAAGGGCAGTACTGATGTTCGCCGTGATTCAGTGGGTGAACTGATCCCGCGGATCCACATGTAGATACGTGTGAGGATAATAATACGGTGGATACTTGTGACTCCATTTGAATGAAGAACCGCCTGCGATACAGCTGATCCCACCTGTTTGTAGCGTTACATGTTAGTGACAATTACATCATAAAAACCTCACTACACTGTGAGATTTACGCACTGCGTAGGGGGCCGCTATCCTTTGAGTTTACTAGTACAGGCTGCATGTGCCGATTGCGTTCTACATCCGCTTTATTCCTGTAACTTTGTACTGAAAATAATGGCGGTGATGCTTTTACGAAGGGAGTAAGTGTGGAATATGGACAGAGTGCCTAAACAGATGCTTGCACTTCCAGTGAGCACGGTAGTCACTGTGTGTGGTAACGTGGGCATTTCAAAGTGAGAATTCCCAAGGTACGCGTAAGTCACATTTGTTGTTATGATGGCCGCAAACGACGACTAACCGAAACCTTCGTTTATATGTATATTTATGTTCCTTACACAATATCCTATCTTCGGACCGCATATCTGACGTGCTTGTGCTAACAGACAAGTGAGCAACGATGGCAGTCTGTTGCTCGAGCTGAGCTCAAAACCCCTGTACTGCTGCATTCCACGTGGCTACATTGTGAAGTAAGATGGTGATCCGTCTATCCACAACCTCTGAGGTACAGGATGCTGAGACCGAGATGGTACGGGCGGCTCTGAAGTTAACTGGAAAGTACAAGATGCAGGTAAACAGAGCACACTAACGTCCAGTCTCACTGCAACAGATCGTAGATGTAGATGCGTTGCTCTGTGTGTGTGTTTCTGTGACAAAGCATACAGCAACTTCGATGCAGCACCAAGTTAACGAGCGTCGCTTATTGACTGACCTCATAGTTGATTAACTAAATGTGTAAAATGACGCTCGAGATTAGAAAGATGACCCAACTTTCTTGCTAGGGTAAGTAAGGAAGTCAGTAGTTGTCTTTGGCAGTGGCAAGTGGAAAATCGTGTCATTAATTGTCGTGGAAACTAGCTTCGTGCGGCAAACCTGAAGGAATCGCGAACATCGAGCTGTGGCTCAAGTGCGGAAGAGGTAATTTCAGTTCCCCAAGAGAAAAGTAAACAAACATCAGACTGATTGGAGGGGCACTTTGAAGCACACGTTGTGTGGATGGACTGCGAAGCGCAATCTAAAAATGGACGGCAATTCCCACTGAAGTGAAGGTTGGTCACTGCGATCACTAAAACCTTAGTTGATGAAGCGGAAGAAAACTGAGAATGAATCGGATCCTCGTTTATATACCGAGTGAGTGAGTCGAAAGCGTTCAGAAGATGCTGGTACACTTAATCCGATAAAGCTTCGGTCACACATCTTGTCAGTAATCCACAAATCGACGGAGTGAGCCTGTGTGCCTGCAGGCAACCCCGCAGTGTCCATAGTCTGCACATGACTGCGACTGCCGTTTGGCAGCGAGGTTACCGTGCACCCATCATCAACAGCAGTATATCAGCCACTTGAACTGATGCTTCGCTGGCGTACAACTACAACGACATACGGAACGAAGAACAACCTAGGCATATATATGTAATCACAACAGTCTAACAACTAGACTTAGAGCCAACAAAAACCATAGATATTAGCGGATAAGGGGAAGTCATCGCGTCATAAGCATCGTGGCACAGTAGTTGAAGGTGAACAATACACTTCAGCTACTATGCCGCAGAAAGAAAAGAACATCACGGCCAAAAGTAAAACGAAACACGTATTGTGTTTTCTACGGTCGATGTTTTCCCTTTCTTGTCATTTTCAATGTTTAAAGTGTTAAACATGTGAGGCAATACAATTCTGTACAAACTTCGTCAACTGATTCCGGTTGTGGGCCATGTCTTTAAGCCACTGGCACTCCTCATCTCTGGACCCCAATCCTGGAAAACGTACGGATCTAACAGCGGCTAGACGCGACGTCAGCGATTCCATGTGCTGCCGCCTAGTGGAAGACTGATCACCACGCCGTCATCATCATCATCAGCATCATTACACATGTCAGCTAGAGGTGGTCAAACACCTCCGCTATTGTACCGCAATACATAAAGGAAATACATACACATATACAATACATAAGGGAAAAAACAAATACGACAGTTGCATACCAGCTGAGCTACCAGCAAGGGATAGGCATCGTTCCGGTAAGCTACCAGCCAGCTACTAGGCAAAAACACTTATTATGTTTTGCCCTACGAAATGAGATCGTAAATGGAGGAGGAGGTTAAAAGGAGGGACTAAGAAACTCACAGCAGGAACGCCACTGAGGTCGGCTTCTTGCCATGTCAACAAGTGTATCTAACCAAACGTGTTCACTGTCTTTTGGACCCCAACTAGGGAGCCGCGACGCTCCAACCGAGGCCAGCTCCGAAATGAGGGACTTCATTCCTCTGGACCAAGTCATCGCTTGGCCACCCCTCCTCTTCTTCCACCCACATCCCCGGTGAGCAAACAACGCACGTCGTGGAAGTCGGTGGGCTGGCATGCGCAACACGTGGTCCAGCCATTGGAGTCTGGTGCGTGAAACAACGGTGCTGAGCGGTTCAGACCCTTTTCCTGTGCCGTAAACAAGGCGTCCATCACGCTCGTTGCTTACGCGGTGTTCCCACCAGATGTGAGCCAAACTGCGGCGGCACCGATGGTCGAACGTAACTAGCTTCTTCATGTCCGCCGATCTTAGGGGCCAGGTTTCGCAACCGTACAGTAAGGTCGAACGTACCGCTGCATTGTACACTCTACCCTTCAGGGCGAGAGTAACGTCGCGCCGCCGCCATAGGTGGCGAAGGTTAGCAAAAGCACTTCGAGCTTTCGCTATACGGTTCGTGATCTCGTCTTCAATCCCAAGGGCGCTGATACAACTTCCCAGGTAGTTGAATTTCTGAACGACTTCTAGCTGATCCCCACCAAGAGTCAGCGCAGGAGGCGATCCCTGCCAATCTTGGAGGAACGTTTTGCACTTCGATGGTGCAAAGCAAAGCCCGAAGCGACTGACAGCCAGTGCTAATCTGTCCAGCGTGGCTTGGCACGTCTGGGAGCTGTCACAGGTGAGGGCAATGTCGTCTGCATACTCCAAGTCAAGAAGTCGTTCTCCTGTGAGTAGCTCCACACCTTCCAAGTAATGTCCTGTAAATGCAAACTCCATGAATTCGTCAATAGCGAAGTTGAAGAGGAAAGGTGAAAGCGAGCATCCTTGTCTCACACCGCTGGAGATATTGAAGGGTGGCGACAGCTCGCCGTAAGCCCTCACTCTGCCCGTGCTACGCGCATTTAATGCTCGGACAATATTTACATATTTCTCGGGCACATGTTTCCGGAGTAGACAATTCCAAAGGGCACATCGATCAACCGAATCGAAGGCATTTTCGATGTCGAGGAACACGACTACGGTGGGCTGCCTATATGTGTGACGGTGCTCCAACAACTGACGCATCGTGAAGATGTGGTCGATCCTGCCACGACCACGACGAAACCCGGCTTGCTTCTCACGAATCTGGCTTTCACGAGCGCCAGTTAGTCTGTGAAGAATTATGGAGGCGAGTAATTTGGAGGCGATAGAGATCAGACTGATTCCTCTACTGTTGCCGCATTCCGAGCCGTCGCCTCCAACCAGGCCAACGACGAGCGAATAGAGCGCGACGCAGTAGACGCTCAGGTGCCATAAGTAAGACATGACCAAGGCATCTCAACTGGTGCAGCAAAATCAGTTTGTTGAAATGAATACTCCCATTCCCCAAGATCCATCGTCGAAGGTCATTACTGATAACTCGATATTGCCACCAAACAAGAACAATCCTCCTGAAGCAACCGTTCCCGAACGCAGAAACACGACGCATATTCGCCACGCGAATGGGCCAGGACTCGCCCCTATACAACAATAATGACTGAACAGATGCGCTGTAAAGACGGTCCTTTAGCAAGAATGAAACGTCGAGACGACGCCACAAGTGCCTCAGATTGACGAATGCTGACTGGGCTTTAGCGATGCGAAGAGGAACTTCGTTGCTGTTAGTGGAGTCAGCAGAAACACAGCTCCCAAAATAGATGAAACTATCTACCAGTTCAAGTTGTGCACCTTCGAGAGTGAGCACGGGAGCAGGTGGAAGCCAATTCTTGAGTAGTAATTTACACTTCGATGGGGCGAACCACATGCCATACTTAGATG